TGTCTGGGGCTGGCCCCGCTTACCGTGCTCCTCCAACCTTACGGATCCTGGCACCTACAGGGGAGGGCTTTGACAATGTCAACGTGAGGGTGTTAAGAAGAGGCTGTTAGCTGAAGAACAGGGTTAGGTCACAGCAAACCATAACACCCTTGGGGGGATTGTATAGTGTGTCCCGCTGCCAAGGAAAACCCTATGTGCTCAAAATGGACTTAACTGGCAATGAATAGACCTGAACATTCCTATAAATCAAAGTTTCTACGTTTTCCTCGGATTTATGTAGCCTAGTGTACATTTAAAGGTTCTGAAAGTATTTGGACTCCCGCGTAATAAAACTCGGCTGTGAAGCCAATTGTCTCTATATTCAAATGACACCAGGGTGACTGAGGCGTCTCTTCGACAGACTAGGTTTTGTTGAGAACTATCTTGGATTTACTCTCATGGATTTGGAAGGTTACAACACAAAACTGGTTGAACCAGTATTTCAGTAGTCAAATGATTGTAGAAAAACAAAATGTGCTCCCATTCTAAACATCTCATTTCACTACAGAACAACCAGGTAACACATACAGAAACACACACGAATACACACAGTAAAAGCGTTAAAAATGTAATCACACCATTTATGCAGTAAGGTATGTTAGTAAATAACCATGTATTTCACACAGAGCTGCAAGGCCTCATTTCTACTGCCAGGGAGCACACACACACACACACACACACACACACACACACACGACCCTTTGAAGTCTCCGTAAGAAGTCAACCGTCCACGGCTCTGTGTTGTAATGCAATCTTTCCTGGACAGGAGACACAACCTTTAAACAGTTTGCAAAAGTGTCTATCCACAGATTCAGAAAATCTGAATTTAATAGAAATACAGCGAACAAGGAAATGGTATTTATGAGAGGCAGGACAAAACCTCAGAGCAAATATACACAGGATTTCTGCAGGCTTTCAAGGCCATATTTCAATGATTCTGGCAAACAACAATGTTGAGAGAGCAGGAGATAAATACAAGTTAACTATTTGCTGCAGCTAGGGCTCTAGTAAACTTCACTCTGTAATGGATCAAAAGAAAAAAAGATTATGTACAGGGTTTACTTTGTACTGCACAGTGATACTATTGAAGTGAAGGTTCAATATCAAAATTAGGTCAGAAATTGGAAACTAACTTTAAGGAATGGAAACTACAATTAATTGAAGGATGAAGTATTTTTTTTGTAAGATAGATGGGTGGGCAGAGGGATTTCAAATGCTGGGACCATAGGCGTCATTTAGGGGCCACCACATAGGCGTCATTTAGGGGCCACCACATAGGCGTCATTTAGGGGCCACCACATAGGCGTCATTTAGGGGCCACCACATAGGCGTAATTTACACTGGGGACGCTGGGCACATGTCCCCACCACTTTCTGAAATGGCTGATTTTGTCCCCACCACTTTCTGAAATGGCTGATTTTGTCCCCACCACTTTTTGAAAGCATTTGGTTAAAATGTTCTGAAAAATCAAGCGAACCAAGAAATGTTAAAGGTTTATTTGCACATAATAAAACATGCAATGCAGTTTAGATACAGAAAGAAAAATCATCATTCATTCAGTGCTGTGTTGTGGTGTGGTTGCGCGTGACAAGCAATGACGCATCACCATGGAAACATTAAAGTGACAGGTTATAAATACCGGTCGCCTAGAAAAACTCACACTGGGGGATCAGTTAGAATATTTTAAACTTACGTGTGAAAGGGTTCCGTCCAATTGACCCTTCGCAAAACCACGCCCCTAACACGCAGATTGGCTACCAAAGTCAGTCTTATATTGAACTTGCTATGCCCGATTTTTATGCCCCGTTATACAATATTTTTCCCGTCCTGCTGTAATGTTTTTTCATCTGATCTTTTGTGCCCACCACTTTTCAACACAAACTGACGCCCCTGGCTGGGACCAAAAAAGGTTTTATATCACTTAATGAATGGGTCTTGAGTCAGGTCCAGTGTTGTGTTTTGGGTAAGCTAGTGGGGTCAGCTTGCTAACTTACCTTTGCAACCAATGAAAAGATACCAGAGTGGGATAAGATGCACTCATTGGTCTACTGGGAATGTATACAGGGAGAGGGTTACGGTTCATTAACCAAACATTCTCTCCGGACACGCCCATTTGATGCTTCCCAGACAAATGCCAAGTCAGGACAAATCTTTTCAAACCCTGCGATTAGGACTCTGTAATGTAAAAAAAAACCCAACATGTTGTTTGTCGCTCAAAACTGCATATCTCCTAGAGAAAACAGCAACAGGCCTGGCTTCATTTGAGTCTTTTATTAAATAAATGGCTCTACTTAACGACCCAACTCAACATACTGAAGCAAAGCAATCGTGTGAAGAGCTGAAATGTAGAAGAGGCTTTAAAACAGCGGTCAAGCTGAAAATAATGTGTTTAGTCATGACAGAAATTGATAACGTCTGACATTTTCAAACTACACCCATTGGCGTCATGATTTATGAAATCATTGAGAGGATTCCATGAAAAGCACAGCTTAGAAGTATCTACAGTATACTTTCATCACACGGCTGTGAAGTTGTCGTCAAAGTATAAAGCTAAAAAAGATTGTGACATCTTCGAAGTCAAATCTTTTTGTAGTCGTACCCTCAAAGTTTCAATAGTATAACAAGGGAAAAAACAGAAATGTTATCTAGGAGAAGGGATGTGTAGTTCCTACCCTACAGAAATGGTAGTTAGGAAGAGGGATGTGTAGTTCCTCCTACCCTTCCCACAACCATTATGTGATTTGGATAACGGCGCCCCCATGAACCCTACAAAATGGCACACACGGGGAACACCACACAGCTGTACTCGTGACTGCAGGTTCCTGGGCATCAGTCCCTCCCTGGACCGTGCGGAGAGTTCGATATTTGGGAAACCAGTAAGCATAATTGGATTCTCACTTCAGGCAGTCTGACCCATGCCAATGCAACAGGAAACCGAAAGCATGAAGCAAGGCAGTGGTTGTTTGGTAGAGACCAAAATGGTGCTGCCACCATAGAATCAGAACACAACAAACAGCTGTATATATTCTTAACATATCAAAATAGAATTCTTCCTTTTCATTAAGTAAAAGAAAACAACAATTAGCTAATCGCTGAAAATTTGAAAGCGTTTTCCGTGATAGGTTAAATGTGTTGGCAGTCTTTGATGAGGAATATTTAACAACAACAGGCTCCCCCAAGGCATTACAAAACATCAGATCTAAGATGGTAGTAAGATGGTATCCCGTACAATCAGTCAGTTCCTCCTATGATTCATTGCCACACTATGTTTGTTATGTTAACAAGGCTTCAGAATACATCGCAATGGTTCTATAGATCGGTTGAGGCCAGAACTCCTCCTGAGAAGCTCCTGGGTTTGTTAATGTTATTTTAACTATTCGAGGCCCAGATGATCAGCCAATTAGTCAAATCACATAGAGATGGTGACATGAGGATTGGAAATACATCTTGGAAGAGAACTGGACATTATATCATTCCTAATTCTAATTTACTGTGACACTGGGCCTGTGACCCTGGACCTGTGACCCTGAACCTGTGACCCTGAACCTGTGACCCTGGACCTGTGACCCTGGACCTGTGACCCTGGACCTGTGACCCTGGACCTGTGACCAACATTATAACTTACTTGTCCTTTTACACAGTAACGAGCAGGTCACGACTGTACACCTCCTGTATAACATCACTCAATGTCAGGTCATTCTGGGCCCTGAATCACTTTTAACACATTAACACATTTTGACGCTACACTAACAATACGTTATGATCTAGCTATAAAGCGTTTAAAGGACTGGTCATTGGCATATATTTACAATCCTTTCTATCAATAAGTCGTTTAAAAATGTTTTTAAACCCAGCCCCCTAAAAAACATGGCCGCGTTATTTACCATAGAGGAAATACCTATTTTATTAAGCCTTTAAAAACTGGGCCCAAAGCTGCCAGAAAACCTCACTCGTACTGTAGATGAAGCTGCAGAACGCACAGATAAATCCATACCCAGACATAGTCAGAAAACCTATTCAGAAGGATATCCCCTCTGTTCTCTAATCGATGCAGTGCTTTTGACCCAAGATCTGGTTTCAAGTGGAACACCACGTTGTGAATGGGGTGCATTTGGGGACTCACCCCAGGCTTTATTATAAACACATTAGCTGTGGATGGTCAGACCGCTACTAAAAAGGGACCACTACAGTATTCACTGAATCATCTGGTGCCAACTTCTGCCTCTGTAGTCAACGTAGTTCTCACATAGTAACATCGTTAACCAATGACAGGCAGAGAAACACTTAAAATCAAAAAGGCCAGCATGAGATACATCAAGGGAATAATGACTATTCAAATATTTGGCAGAGGCAAGCACTGTGTTTTCTGCTTTGGAGGATAACAATGATATAATTTGATAGAGTGCAGACCAGAAAAAAAAAACAAGTAGGGTTGAGGAATAGAGACTATTTCAAACAGTTAGCCCATGCTTTACAGCTCAAGACTCTGGATCAAAGAAATTGGAATTAGGGGCTGCTGTTTACATATTTCCAGATTTCCTTTGTCTTAGCACAACACAAAATACCTCTTGGTGAAAGCACTGCCAAAATAAAGCAAAACAGCCATCCACAGAATATTTTATTCTATTTCTAGCTAGCTCCTTGGGCAGTGACGGCTATTTAAGTCAATTGTGTTCAAACATTTGACACGAAGGAGAAGAAAATCATCCCTGTGCCAAGTAGTTATGCCCCTCATCACAGACTGTTGATGGAGCCAAACACTGCACCACACCCAGGGATGCAAGCTCCCCCTCCACAAGGAATCTCAAAGACTCCCTGACAACTCCCCCGGTCGCGAAAAACAACCAAACCATCTGACTTGACCCAGACACCAACGGGTTCCATCTCGTTGGTCCCAAAAAGCGATGGATTCCATTGGAGTGGTACCAGGAATCGTTTCAGCATACATTTTAAATTGGATTATGTGTTGCCCAGTTGGTAGAGAATAGCACTTAGAACTCCAGGGTTGTGAGTTCGATTCTCACAGAGCGCATGCACAAAAAAAGCAAGTACAGACACATTAGCGTGTACCACCGCCCAGGTGATCGTAGACACGACTCCTAATGCTTCATCATGAATGGCAGCCAGGACTAGTGTCTGAATACATCCCATTTGGATCCTAGCATTTCTACAATTCCTGAGTGTATTCTGACTGCAGCAGTAGCAGAGAGTCCACGTGTCCTGCCTCCTTTGTGTCCAGTCCAGGGAGAATTCCATCCACAGTATGGTATCAACTACAGACGACATCTGCATACCAAATGACAACACAAAAGTATAGCACAACAAAAACAGTGGAGAAAAGACCAAAAACATGTGACAACGACACAAGCCCAAACGGTCTTCTTTGATAAAAACTTTAAATTGTAGGGTTTACACAACACAGTTTATTTACATTGATCCCTCCATGAAACTGCATTCAGAGTTTCTGTGATTCACTGGCAGCGAGGTAAATGACACAGAGTCCTATGGCCAGTCGTGGCCGTCAACCTTTACCTCTATAATATCCAGACACTTCCACACATACCTCTGCTCAGGGTGAATAACCTATGGTCTAGGTGTGATACAAATGCTGCTGTGAGAACAAGAAAACAGCAATAGCAAGGTTGCCTGCATAATGTCTACATCCCTAATAAACGTGACAAATAACTCAACTGGCAACACAACATTGTTTCAAGCAACGTGAAATCTTCAGAAGATTTTTTTTGCAGACTAACAAGATAACCTTTGACTCAGTATCTCTCTTGAGGTCAGTGATCCGGTTTAGATAAACATTTGAATTCTAATATGAATATTTGTAAAAAAAAATATCTGATTTAGTGGCGAACAGAGAAGTGATTTTCCGAATGTCAGTGATTACTTTACATAAACCCAGTGTCCACAATGGCAGAAGAATGATGACCTTGCCGATAACAGGCATTTGAGAGGCTCAAAGCTAATTTTTTCCGTGCTGTACTTGACAGTCATAGTTCGCGCAGTCGAACACCCTTTGAAATGCTTTCAAACAACTCCGGAGGGGAAAAATAAGCTGTTGACAAAATAGCACGCCCACGACACAAGGGCCTGGCTGTAACATGTTGAAACAACACCAACCACATAGTTGGCCTTGGCTACAACTTGTTCACAATGTTACCAGCTGTAGACAAATCACCATCTTTAGGAAGCTAAAGATCAGAAAAACAAGGCCAATAGACAAACAAAACAAAATGATTTCCAAGACCAACAGTGTATTTGGGCCGGTATCAAAACCATGTAATTAAACCCTTATTTTTGCAATGCACCTATATGAGAAAATAAATTAGCATTGGGAATGTTTTCTGGGTGATCAGTAGAGTGCATATATATATATATATATATATATATAAAATGAACAAGGTAATCAAGTTCACAGGAAACAACAAATAACTAACTTCTATCAATAAATCTTGGTAAACTTAGTCAGGATGAAAGAGTGAGACAAGCATTCAGGTACCTAATTCGAGTATAGGGGCCAACCACAGTTTCATTTTTTTTTTTAAATCAGATTTTGTTTGAGCTGATGAAACGAGACTGAGCTCTCGCTCATCTCCGTCTTACGGTCTGAAATAACATCGAAGTAAAATACATGCTAAGTTTAAACACAACAAGGATTGCCCAATTTTTCAGAACTAAGTAGTTAGCCATAAAGCGATGATTATCACAATTATGACTAACTCTCCTGGGATGAATGTGCAGTGCACTTCTCTTGACAAGCCAAAGGAGGCTTCAGAGGACTTGCTATTATTCAATGGAAAAAGGAATGTGAGTATATTAAAGGGAATAGCAAACCTCCAAGTCAAGACTTATTTCATGCAAAGTATACAGTAAATGCTGTCAAAACAGAGCTTTAGGAACATGTGAAGAATGTTTAGAGTGCTTTTCCATTTCGCTGCCATGAGCAAACATAATATTGGCCATTATCTAAAAGGCGCAGGTGTGAGTGATGAACCTTAAGAGAGACTTCAATTCACACTGCAGAAAGCTCAACAGAGGCCCACCCATCGCTTAAACAATTCACCATTCTATTCTCAGCATTTTCACACGCGTTTTTTCCGACAGCATCAACTACAGAAGAGCTCTCAAAACACATCACGGCTTTAAAGAAAACTGCTGCCATCTGAACAATGCATCGATAGAATAATTGAGCAAAATCGTAAACGAAGCAGAGGTTCCAGTCATTTCAATCAGTAATATGAAAGAACATTCTGGCTACATCCGATAGCCTAAACATGTATCATGTTAAAATCAATGCTATATGTGGTCTTAGCAACTGGCATTTTCCAGTGATTTCGTCTGACTACACCACTATTTGCATGTGTACATATCTGTGGCGCTACATGAAACCAATAGTACTTCACGTCCCTTTCCAGACAAACCCATTTTAACAACGACTCACCTGTGACTAAACAGGAAAACATTCAGAAACATCAGTGGAACGGATATGAGAGAGAGATAGAGGATGCCGCTGTGTGTGAGTTCTGGTGTGTGGGACAGCGTGAGCCCTTGACAGCTACAGGGATTAGGGCTCTCCTGCCTTCCAGATATCAAGAGCCCTGTTACCTGGGCAACCGCACAGGGAGCAAACCCAGGAATGTTGGCATGTCAAATAGTTGTCATATCAATCAGCTCTAACGAATAACAGTTCACTGGAAAAAAAACGTCTCAATCTGCAACGGCCAGACAGATACATATTTAATATCCTACATTAGTCCCAGGAAACTGCAAACATTCTCTGGTTTGTAGCCTTTCCCTTTCTCTTTGTTTGTGTGTGTGTGTGTGTGTGTGTGTGTTTACGATTGCTTGTTGCGTTTGCGTATGCAGCGTTTCTCAACAGCTTACGGTAAGTATTACACGTACCTGTCCCGTCCATCAACTGACTCAACAAGATCAGAATGTCTCCGTACAAGACCTCAGTTGAGATGAACCAAAGCCTACTGTGTCAGTCATCTGTAGACCCTTAAAATAACTTTTCAGAACTACATTTTTAGACAAGCTTAAACCTTGAGGGAATATAGATTGTCTGTCATCGGACAACAATAAGATTAGAACACATCCTGTTCAGGCTGTTCCAAGGGCAAGTCTGTTAAAGCATTGTATTTAGAGGAACTGTCAAGTTGTACTCAGCAATGGAACGTATTAGCATTGACACAGGTAAAGCAAATTACGTCGAGCATCTCCTAACAAGGGCACATGTCAGAACCGGGTAGATTATATGGAAAGCAAACAATCAGTGTGTATATTAAATGTGGTGTATGCAGAAGAAATGGGCGGCAGTAAAGACCTGAGCAATGTTGACAAGCGCCAAATGGTTATGGCCAGACAACTGGTCAGATCAGCTCAAAACGGCATGGCTTGTGGGGTGCTCAAGATCACCGAATGTTATCCAAGGAGGAATAAACCACAAAACGCAACAAGGTGTTTGTTGCCCAAGGCTAATGCAATGAGCAATGTGCAGAGGGTCTGTTATACAAGTCACCAAAAATGTGAATTATGGTTACGGGAACCAATGTGTCAAAACACCCAGGCCCTCACACTCTGCTGGGGTATGAGGTTGCATAGCTGCAGGCTGGCCAGTGCACATGTTGATCCCATGATGACCCCACGATGACCCACCGCCAAAAGCGTGCACAATGGGCACGCGACTGTCGGAACTGGGACCTTGGAGCAGTGGAAGGTCACCTGGTCTGAACAGTCCCATTCTCATTTACATCACATGGACGGACATGCATGTGAGCACTGTTCACCTTTAGGGTTAAGTTAGGGTTAGGAACCAGGATGAAACGTGGGAAAATGACAAGCCCAAGAGTGTGACGCACTGGTTAATGTTCTGCTGGGAAACCATGGGCCAAGGCATTCATGAGGACATCAATTTGACATCTGCCTGAACTTTGTTGTAGACCAGGTACACCCCTTCATGGTAATAGTATTCCCTGAAAGTAGTGGCTTATTTCAGGAGTAAAATGCACCCAGTTACACTGCACACAAAGTTCAGTAATGGTTTGAGGAACATGGAGTGCAAGGTGTTGCTCTGGCCGCAAAAGTCTCCAGATCTCAATCCACTTGAGCATTTATGATGTGCGTGACCAACAAGTCCGATCCAGGGCGGCTCCAACGCAGAACTTACAGAATCTGCTGCTAATGCCTTTATGCCAGATAGCACAGGACACCGTCAAAAGTCATAATGTTTTGGCGAATCAGTATGTAGACACACACACACACACACGACCCGGCAAAGCAGTTTACTGAAATCAATTATTAATGAAGTCATGTAAATTAACAGAGAGGGTTAGGGTTAGACAACAACAAAGCAAGCCTTCAACAATATCCAAACCCAGTATGATCTAACTGCCCACGCTGCGTTATGAAACGTAGAAACCCGGCGGTCTAAATGTGTGTCTTGTGTATCAGCTAAACAAGGTTCTTGACCCTCGTGTGACTGGGGCCATGAGGCCGGCTGGCATAGATACCGGGCCCAGATAACGTCTGCTGCCTACAACTATAATTCCTGCATGACTCTAATCCCCTCACTGACCCACATACACATTAAGATGAGAACAACTTTCCCCTAATAATAAGACGGTAATAAGATCAGATTTCACTGTTTAAACACCCAATAGAACAGCACTTGCTTTTTGCTGTACTTGGAGGGAAACTGGGAGGTTTTGAATACAATTACGATAGATTTTTGAAAACACACAGCGTTCAAATATTTTGTATTGTATATAGCCATTCATATTTAGTTATCCAACGTGGGAAAAATAACATTTGGATGTCCTGAACAATGTTTGACCAAAACTAAAAGTGTAGCTACTGAATTAATTGAATATGATTAAAGTGTTAGCCCATGTCTTCTCCATGGGTCTCCCGTTTGGCTGGGCAGTTCAGTTTAAGATATCTGCAGCAGTCAGTACACACACACACACGCACGCACGCACACACGCACACACGCAAGCACGCCACTATTACACTGAAATTACTGA